TAAAAAAGTTGTCCAACAGGCCACATGGTATCCCTTCGAATTAAAAGCTATTTTCCCCCCGAGAAATACACATCTTCTAAAATAGTGGCCGCTTAATTATTCAAAGCACGGTCTATTATAAATTCACCGAAAATTACGGACAAAAGCCGGATGGTGTGGCTTCTTCTTTCTACTACAATTGTCTGTTTTTATTTTTAAAACAAGGGTTCATTCATATTTTTGGAATAACATAAATAATATCAACGCCATTTAACGTTTCTTGTGGAACTTATTTTTCAGCTCAAGACCAATCTTGTAAATCGACTAAAATGGGGCTACCAGTGGGGAAAACAGGTTTTAAAATTAAAGTTAATATTGAGGAAAATTCATTTAAACTTGTTTTAAGCATAAAATAAAAAAAATGTTTGTTTGTTGTGTAAGATGTAAATTTATTTCATCTCGTGAACCTTAAAACCAGTATTCTTACTCGAGTCTGTGTCACTCGTGAGAATACTAGTTTTAAAGCACACTCTATGAAATAATATTTCATCTTACTCACTAACAAATATCCTCTATATCATGGCATATGGCATTATTATCATATTTTTCTTAATTGAGATAAACACAATAGTTTTTTAAATTTAATTTTACCCATGAAATATGGTGCTATATCAGTCAAATATATTTAATATTTTTTTACGAATAAATATGAAATATAAATATGAAAGTGGGCGGAGTCAAAACTCATATTTATTTTAAGGGACTACTTTCGCCGTTTTGTTTGAAAAGTCTGATAAATACAAAACAACTTTTTCTTGAATTTTGTTTTGAAAACTATCTAGCATGATAGAAAATGGTCTAAGAAAATTAATCCAAACAGCAATATCTTTAATTCAGTAATTAACGTTGTACAGACGCTTAAATAGTTGTTTACATAACGTCACAATGTAACGCCAAACAGAGCGTGCTTACGCAAAAGTTACTGCGCGCTGTACAATTGCAGTTGGTAACAACCAAGGGGATTTGTTACCATTATGAAATTAAATAAAAAAAGTTCTTTTTTCTTTTTTCGTGAAATATGGTATATATTTTCACTCAACATGATAAAATACCACATATTTTCACTCGCCGTACCGGCTCGTGAAATTATGTTGGATTTTGTCATGATTCGTGAAAACATATACCATATTTCACGCAAACGCAAAAATATCCTCTTAATATTCTCCAAATATGCAGACTTTGAATTTTAATCTCTTTATACCTATCCCAAAACTACAAAAAGATATTCTATCGACCCCCCCCCCCCCACCCGCAACAAACTATTTAAGAGAATAGAAAATAACTTATCAAAAATGAATACATAAAGTGACTTTATATGGCATTTTCTTTTGTCTACCTTGAATACGTTTATAGCTATTAAAAAATATAATTCTCAATGCATCAGCGCATGGTATTATATCTGTTCATCAGATATATATCTATCTATCCATCTTATAAGTTTATTTCAATATTCCATTTGACCAAATGATAATAACCTGTGAATATGAAAGTCCATTGTGTGCGATACAAAGTCAGCTGCTTTTAAAAAATTTTTTTTATATATATTATGACGAACGTATTTCATGCCCTATTATATTTTCTTCCTTCCTTCCTTCCTTCCTTCCTTCCTTCCTTCCTTCCTTCCTTCCTTCCTTCCTTCCTTCCTTCCTTCCTTCCTTCCTTCCTTCCTTCCTTCCTTCCTTCCTTCCTTCCTCCCTCCCTTTTTTCCTTCCTTCATTTCCGTACTGACGTGTGCCGATTCGTCGTCGACTTCAACTGCGCAAATTTAGCATTAAAAAATTTCGGGAACAATGTTTTTCGCAATTTAAATTCTCATATGATAATTATCAAGTTAATGATCGTATTTCAATTTTCTGTCCGATCGTGTATTTCACAACGATATCGGAATATTGGATACGTAGTTTAAAATGGGACTTTTATGTCATGTCAACATTAAGTGTATCATTCTTCACTAGATCTTTTAATTTAAGTAATGATAATGTATCAAAGCTATTCGACTAGTTAAATCGATAAATCGATGAAAAGCCTGCTTCCGACTTAAGCTATTAACCACTTAATGTTACAGTAAAATCGGCCCAATGGGTTCATTATAATGGTATATTCTGTATATAATCAGACTCCAAATGAAGTAATGTTTTATAATTCGATGTCAAAATGTAAAAGTCATAAAAGAACATGCTATGTATTTGTATTTTGCTACATAAAGAAAGAATGTTTTCTCACTTTTAACTAGATTATTATTATATTGACTTACAATCATAAAATAATTTTGAAATAATTGTGTGTATAATTATTCTGTTTTCTTGACAACATATAAATCATGTTATTGCCTCATATGAATGTTATATTATTATATGTATTATGTTACATGTATATGTGTATGGGCTGGTGGCCCGATTATACAACAAACGTTTGAATTTGACTTGAATTTGATTGAAGTTGTCAGAAATGTTGTTTTTAACAGTGTATTTACTAGGGAACACGAATCCGTGATTGTTTTCTTAAAAAAAAGGAAGAAATATTCTTATACTCGTTTTTGCACTGTTTTCTGTTGGACAAATGACACTACCAGGATTGATGAAATAGTTCATGGCCCTATGCACTTCCGGTAGTCAGAGAAACCAACTAATGGTCTTATTTTTCAATATAATATAATCTCCCTCTACACCAATGCACTTTGTCGACCTGTGCTTCAACTTGTTTAACCCTTCAAAATAGAACTCTCTTTTTTGGTCCTCAAAGAACTCATTGATCAACTCCATGGCACCTTCATTGCTTCCAAACCGTCTACCATAAAAACCTTGGTTTTAAGTTTCGAACACAGGTAGAAGTCAGAAGGGGTCAAGTCCGGAAAAAAATTTGGGGGATGGGGAAGAATTTCAAAGGCGCAGTCAGTTACAGTAGCCTTTGCAAGTCGGGATGTATGAGCTGGCGCATTGTCGTGCAGATGCAGAGCCCCTTGATTTAGTGTGCTCCTCCTTTTACGCACGTTTGTTTGACGCAGACGTCTCAATTCGTCTGCATAGTACGTACCATTTATGGAATTACATTGCTCGAGATAGTCAATCGTGATTATCCCCTGACTACCCAAAAAACTGAAGCCATCAACTTCCCTGCTGATGGCACCCTCTTGAATTCTTCGGAGGGGTGCGTCAGGGTGCTCCCACTGCATGCTCTGGTTTTTTTTGATTCTGGATTGAAGTGATGGATTCATGTTTCATCCTGAGTTACAATCCGATAGATAAAATCAGGTTCATCCAAGATATCTTGAGATGTCAAGCCTGGGCCGTTAATGGTCGTTAGTCAACTGTCAGGGGATCCATCTATCGGAAACTTTTGACATGTTGTAGACATCAGTCAGAATTGTCTGCACTGAACCTAAGCCTATACCCACTACCTTTGCAATGTTTCGTAGGTCTCGCCTTCTGTCGCACATGACCAGATTTTGCACAGTTTCGGCATTTTCAATGTTGGCGACCTCTTTTGGCCGCCTGGGCCGCGCATAATCTCCTATGCTCTCCCTTCCCTCTTAAATTCGCTAGCCCCTGTTTCACGGTGCTATAGGGAAGGGGGAATCCTTCCAAAGTGTATCCATGAAGTCTTCCTTGGGGATCATCCCTTTCTTACAGAGGTAATTAATGATGGCTCAGATCGTTCAGCACGACAGTAATGTTGTGTATACATGTTATGTGGTACTTTAAGTTTCTTCCTTTCGGCCATTTTCAACTTGGGTGGTTCCAGTATTCCTACTTGAATACTGTATAATCTCCCAAAGGATTTGTTGCCTGCTTTTTAAATTTGTCTTTTGACGTCTTATCTGTGATATGCAGGATTCATAACCTCTGATCCCCTTTCAAAATTCCATTTTATATAGTTCCGCCCATTGTTTTTCGTTTAGGGCAAAAGCATTCTTTTACTTGGAAACCATACGCCGCTTTTCATGGAATGGCAATCCTGTGTCACATTGAAGGTTCCATGATTACCGCCGTATGAACACATCTACGGATGTTTCTAAATTTCACCATTTTCGTGTTAAATGTTGAATTCTGCTTAAGCGGGTGCTAGGTGGCTTGGACGGTAACTTGCACTTTCCAGTACCGTCCATGAACAGGCTCAATCAAACCGAGACTGCAACATTTTCAATTTTGTTGTGTTGGACTTTCTTTAGGGATTCTGTTTTTTCTCTACCTTATTTCAACTTTTTCCATTTGGTCTAAATGACACACCCCTCTACTGCTCAAATTGTGTTTTGTGAAACTTAATCTTAGTAAAACCGCGTGTAACTCGGTCAGTAATCTTCAATACGATATCGGTTTCGACGTATCGTGTGTAAATGTCAGTGTTGTGGCTAGAAGTATATCGGCCGATAACTTTTTGATCATACCTCGTATATAAACTGTAAACACATATTGTTTTTCTTTATATAAAAGTTGTAGTTTACATCTAACTGTTTCTATAGATTTCCAGGTAAACAACTACTGGTATAACATGGCATCTGGAGAGGGACCCCTTCATATTGTAACACCAACTATATATAGTATGCCTTTAAGTAAACTAACTGGCTATGATGTATACCTGAAACTAGAAAATCTCCAGATACCAGGATCATTCAAAATCAGAGGCATTGGAAACCTAATTAAAAAGGTACCGTAATAAATGTATAGATATATGTGTTATTATTTACCATTTAGCATGCTTGTGGCAACTGAAGATAATCATGCATCCAATTCATCTTTGCCATTTGATCTAATTCTGCACTTATTGCTTACTGATCAGATGAATTGCTTTGTTATAAGTTCGTACTTATTTACTCAAGTTTGATTGTGTTTGAAAGCTATAAGCAAATTTAAACACTGTTAAATAAGTTTTTGGAACCAACCAGTACTGCGCAATGAGTGTGATGCTTGCTCTCGGAACTGCTTGTCCCTGATCGGATTTGAACCTTCTTGGCCAGCCATCCTTATATAACTAGTTTAAAGCATTAACTACTCGGCCACGCTGCCAATTCCAGATTGAAGAATAGGCACGTCTATTAAAGAATTTTTAAAGCATAAAAATAGTTAACAATACAGTTATCTTATAAACTGTTGTAATCAGACTTTAATTGAGTAATTATTGAAGAAACACATTGATCAAAGTGCCCATTTGATTAAGGTCAAGTAATTAATTTAAGCATTATTTATATCTTGTGTCTTTAAATCCCAGTCATATGTGTCATATTGACTTAAACAAGGATCAAAGCTATCCAGGGACTGAGAGGAAAATAGATTCTGCCGAAAATTGAAAAAAAAAACTTTTTAAAAATAAAATAGGCAAAGAACAATTCGAACCTGATATACAATGTATGGTCAAAGTCAAGGTTTGGTTATATTTGATTATTATGCTCCCCGTTTATAAAAAAAATAGTTATTTTGTCAATCGTTGTTTGACCTTATAGCAATTTTAATATCGATTGCTATTATTTTGGTGTGTTGGTACATTCTTTAGAAATCTTATTTGTGGGTAACACATTGTAGAGTGAAAGTCCATAAAGAGGTTGATATCTTTGTACAAAAAAGGAATGAAATATAACTGGTAGAACACAAAAAATAAGCCATTTGCTGTGTTTAATTGTAAATTATAATATTGGTTCCAGGCATCACAGCATGGTTGTAAGAAGATAGTTTGTTCATCAGGCGCAAATGTTGTCTTGGCAGCAGCATATGCAGCTAAAACACTTGGTATTCCTGCAACAATTGTGCTGCCCCAGAGTACCCCAGGATTTGTAATAGATAAACTCAGAAATGAGGTGAAAATATAAGATAATTTTATAAATCCATTTAAAAGGAGTCCCAAAGTGATCAAAAAGCCTAAAAGCATAAAAATTGATAGATACATAGATCAAGTAAACACATATAATAGATAATAAAGGAATACACTGAAAATTTCGTTTAAGTGAGATTTTTAGCCATATTTTTGTATCAATTTTGAAAGCAGCTCGTCCAGGCTTGGTTCACATACCCCCCCCCCCCCCCAAAAAAAAAAAGTAAATAAATAAAAAAATAAGATAAAAAAAACACCACCAAAAACAAATCCTCTCTGTGTTAAATGAAAGTAAAAAAGATTTTGAAACATTTTTCCCCTATACACAAATGTATACGTCTACCACGAAAAGGTCACCTAGTGGCCGTAACGCTATGTAGCTCTACTAGGACACACTGTAGAACAATCATAATGTCAAGTTCTGTAACAGTGCAGGCTACTTTGCTACTCCTTAAACATTATGCATTTAGCAAGTTGTTAATATCCTTCTTCTACCTTGTCCTAAATCTTAAATAGCTTACATTTAAACTTTTAAGCGGAACTGTACAAAGTAGATTTTGTACTTTAGTTTTCGACAAAAAAGTCGATCATCTCTGTTATTTTTTGCAAGATTTTAACAAGTTAAGAGTGTCCGAGTTTAATTATTTAGAGTGTCAATTATTTATATAATTAAGTTGTACTTCTGTTTATATGGTATATTTTACTGACAAAATTACAGTATGGAGCAGAGGTGTTGCTTCATGGCAAAGTATTGGATGACAGTCATAACTTTGCAGCCGAGATGGCGAAAGATTCAGGTGTGATTTTGATTGTTGAAACTGAAATTCAAAAGAATACAGTTTCTTAGCAAATATTTTAATGACCATTGAATCAGATTTTCTATGCATTACCTTTTAAAGGGACTCTACTGAAGTCTCGTCAATTGTCATAATCAAAAGTAAATTTTCACAAACCGATTTTTTTTTGTAAAAAAATGCCAACTTTTATAAAATTAGCAACTATTTTCTGCTGTTAAAATTCAGGTATAATGGTAAAAAGGAAAAAATTCATATTGGTATTTTTTCACAGATTGTTTGTTTGTACATCCATATGACCATCCAGATATATGGTAAGTTTCTTTGTTCTTGTTCTGGAACCATTAAACCAACCAGCTTAGAGTTCAATTTTATCTCAATTATTCGATGAATAGAGAGAGAGAGCTATTGTTCTCAGCCTAGTGTAAGCATTGCTGCACATTTTGGTTCATAGCCCATTATGTGTGAAAAATAGTTACATTGTACGTACTACCATTTCTTTTTTCTTTTTTTTTTTGAAAAACTGTTTATTTTGGTTTCTTGGTACATTTTCCAAAAACATAGTCATTTGATATATGCATATTTTGATATATGCATATACACTGTACTATAATCGTTTAAGTCGTTAGTGATGTTGGCAATTGATATAATTATAGTGAATAACATATAGTATTTTGTATGGATATCGAAATACTAAATTGTTTACATTTGGCTACCTTTGCGACAAATAACTGCAAGTTCAGAGCAACATTTTTGAATATGTATATTTGTACTATCACAATTGTGAAACAAGATGCTATATAAATTTAGGGAAGGACATTCAAGCATGATTGAGGAAGCTGCCCAGCAGATGCCATGTAAACCAGATGTTATTATTGTATCTGTCGGAGGGGGAGGACTACTCAACGGTGTTATGATGGGCATGAAAAAAGTTGGCTGGAGTGATGTCACCTGTATTGCTATGGAAACTATCGGAGCAGATTGTCTGAATGTATCACTTAAAGCTGGCAAAATTGTTACTTTACCAGATATAACTAGGTGAGATATTTATTATGTAAAGATGTTAAAGGTATTTATAAAGATGTATAACAATAGTTGACGAGGAAAAAAAACACAATTTGATAATAAGTAACATACTTTTCAGAAAGATCACTTGATACTGCTTGAAATTTGTAAAAAAATGTTAACTAATTTTCCAATTTTACTTACCTGTGGAATAAATGTTTTTTAAACAGTCCATATTATATAATTTCAACGTTGTTTTTTTTTGGTATTTTGCAATGTTTTTCATTGTTTCATTTTGGCTAAAAACATCATTTAAACCTATTTCTATAATTAATATTGTATATTAAGCTAAAGAATTTAATAAAGTTGTAATTGCAGTTTATTAGGATTGTATTTTATCTAAAATTGTTTCACTAAAAGAGTGTTAAGACCTTTAACTATACTATCTATTAGCTAGGGTTATATGTCGACCAAAATTTCGGTATAAATTTCTCACCACAAAGCAACTTAATCTACCAATTATTAAATTATTAAATCAACTTATTAGTATTAATCTTGCGTTTCTCCATTGTGTTAATATCGCAAGCTTAAGTTAAGGTTTTGCATTTTCAAAATGAACATTTGACTTTTTCTTTCAATCATTTTATAACAATTTCATTGTATTGTCATAAATTGTATTGTTAAATGAACTTGCTACATCTGATTTGTTACTAGTAGTAAAGTTATTATTAAAAATGTATTTGGTTTTAGGATTATTTTCCTTCATTCAATGATTCCAAATAAAATTAATTCACAGAACTTTACCAACAAACTCACTTTTGTTTAAAATTGAAATTTTTGATAATTAAATATTTACTTTCTGTCTAGAAGAAATACTTAAAATTATTTACGAATTGGCGCTACACAGGGGAATCACTTGCTTTATACAGACTTAGGTGTCCGCTCCATAACGTTTTGCCGAAATAACTGGGCACAAGTGATCACTATTAAAATTCGACATGCAGATCGCAATAAATTGGTTGCAACCACAAGGTCAAGGTTTCACTTAAAGATCAAGTGTAGAAAAGTCTACATTTCGTTTCCGCTTCATAACTTTTGAAAAAGCTGAAACGTATCATTGAAATAACATGGCACAAGCACAAGTGGTCACGATTTTCTATTATATTTCTATTCCAATGATCAAGATCACACTTGAATGTTAAGTGTTAGAAAGTCTACATATCGTTCCCGCTCCATAACCTTTAAACTGCTGATTGTTTTTAAATTACTTAGCACAAGTAATCACCATTTTGAGACGATGTGCAGAGCGCAATAATTGACTTGCTACACCAAAGAGAAGAACATACTTAAGGGTCAAGTGTAAAAAGTATATATTTCGTCTCCGCTCCCTTACCTTTAAACTGCTGAAAAATTTCTGAAATAACTTTGCACAAGTTATCCACAATATGAGATGATGTGCAGAGAACAATAATAGAGTTGCTACCCTCAAGGTCAAGGTGACACTTAAAGGTCACGTGTTAAAAATCTACATTTCAAAGCTGCTCTATAACTTTTAAACCGCTGCAATGAACGATTTTAGGTAACATGGCATGTTCAGAGTACAACAATCAGTCACTACCCTCAAAGTCAGCGTCACACTCAAAAATCCAATGTTAAAACATCTATTTTTCATGTCCGTTCTATAACTTACTGACAATTCAAAGGTATTGAAATTACTTGAACTATGGCACAATTTGCAGAGCGCGACATCTAGGTTGCTACCCCCAAGGTACATCCAGGTTGCTACACTCAAAGTCTATGTCACACTTAGAGGTCAAATGATAAAGTCCTCATTTTTTCTGTCCGCACCTTAACTTTTAAACTACAGACAAGTTTTTGAATGACTTTTGCACAAATGATCAACATAATGGCATGATGTGTGAAGCGCAATATCAATGTTGCTACCCCCAAAGTCTAGGTCATACAAAGATAATGCATACAAAGGTAAAATGTTAAAAGTCCTCTTCATTATTTTCTAACTACTGAATGTGTAATTGTATTGGCACAAATGATCATCATCACCTACAGAAGGCATCAGCAAGGTGGCTACCTCCACGGTCAAGGTTATATCATATACAGCATTCTTGTTATTCTCACCTGAATGATTTTAAGAAATAAAGACTATTACAAATAATACACCAGAGTCACAATAAAAGTATTGTAAGTTAAACCAAGACATATCACTAAAGCCCACGGAACATCAATTTTGCCCAAAGCATGATACAACAAAGTATGTAAGAAACTTGGCAATATATGTAGTCTAACTTTACCCATAGTTTCCAAGACCTTGACCTAAAAATTCAAACAAAATAAGAGGATCTACAAATGTATCCCTATGAATATGGAAGATAATTGGTCAAAAGCTATAACCAGACCATTGTGATTAACAAATGTGCGTATGATATGCATGGCACAACATCATGGTCATGGTTGGTTACAAATAGAAACGTGCTTATTCTAAATCGCAATCTGTCTAATGGTCTTCTAGATTTAACGGCAGATGTCTTCTTCATATTAGAGCTCATGTCATATATCCAATCATTATTCAGTGGTTTTGGTCTGCTTACTTCACACTTAACCATCTGCTGCCTTTCTCAGTTGGTCATAGGACAGACCATGTAGGCATATAAAAAAGGGAAACAATAATATCTACCCCACGAAAAATAAAGATTAAGGTTTCAACATTTAAGATATCCACACTGCTTTTGAGAAATAATATTGGCATGATAGTAATGACACACGTTGACATGCTTTAAGAATATAATTCAATTGAAATATAAAATAAGGTGCATATACGTCTGTGAGTTTCACACAGTGGATGTAGTATTAGTATTTTTCTTCTCTTATGTTCAATAAGAATCGAGCTAATGCATGGTACATAAATAGGGTTTTTTTTGCAATTAAATTGACTGATCAATATATATGTTATAAAGAAGGGAAACTTCATTATATTTTCAGTATAGCTTGTCTTGGAGCACTATCCCCATCTGCAAAAACTTTTGAACTTGCACAATCTTATGAGAAGTTTCATTCTGCTGTTGTTGAAGATAAAGAAGCAGTTTCAGCCTGTGTTAGATTTGCAGGTTATTTTTCACTTATTCTTTTCGCAAGGAAGCTGTACAGCTAGCTTCAGGAACATCAATGGTTCTACTCAGGTACCCTTTTATACCTGAAATAAAAAAATAAGGTATTTCTCCACAATTAAAGTTTGAAAGTTATCATATGACCTATACTATGTTGGTGACACATGAAACCCAACCGAAGCAAAGTTTTGCATGGTAAAGCATTGACGTATCTCTTACAGAGAGCATTGTTTGAAACAAAACGGATTCATATATGAGCTAGAATTTGATGTAACTTGTGTTCTGATGCAACTTGTGTAAATTTGTGATTATTTTGTCTCCCTTGCATTGATTCGTAATAAATACTGAAATACTTGAATGTTTATATTATGTTGTTAATGAATATGGTCATCTAAAATGAAGAGTAATTCTTTGAAAATTAACAGTATTGAATTAATGTATACATTTCTGTTTTGAGTTATAGATAAAGTTAACTGTTTAACTGTAACATCTGTTTCTTTTTTATTCTCTATAGATGATCACAAAATGTTGGTAGAGCCAGCATGTGGGGCCAGTTTAGCTGCAATGTATGAAACAATTATACAGGACTTACAGTCTAGCGGGAAACTAGGAGACGTAAAGTCAGCTTTAGTTATTGTATGTGGAGCGGGTTCTGCTACTCTTGAACAGCTGCAGGCTTGGAGAGATATGTTTAACTTGTGAGAAAAATAAAAATGTAAATATGGCATATTTTGGTGCAATATAACTCTCCTTCATTAAAAAAAACGCAAACAATCCCAAGAAACAAACAATTATTATAATGCATTTAAAAGCTGCTTCCCATAAAAAACAGAGGATGCTGAAAATATACATTTTAGCTTAAATATTATCATAATAATATTGGTGTTGGATTATACAGGGTCCTTCATATTTTCATGAATAAGTAACCATTGTCATGTTGTTATTATTGATATATTTTTTTCTCTTAACGCATGCATTTGGACTTAGTAAGAACCAATGTTTAGTATACTTTATATGTTTCAGTGTTGCTCATGTTATTGACTGTCGCCATTACTGCTTATAATTAAGACTTAAATTACACATAGAAAGTTATTAATTATAATCGAATAATACAGAAAAAACTGATTGAAAAGTTTATAAATTTCTTTTATCTTGCGATACTTCCATGTTATCTATCTTAACATTCCTTACGTTAAAATACTCGTACGGTCACATTCTATATTTAGTATAGATAAATCGGGAAGATGTTACAGTATTGCTTTTATTGACGTTCTATAATTAGTAAAGGTACATGGGGGAGATTTATTGCTTTTATTGACGTTCTTAATTTAGTATAGGTAAATGAGAGAAGATTTATTGCTTTTATTGACATTCTATATTTAGTATATCTAAATGGGGAAATTTCATTGCTTTTATTGACGATCTGTATTTAGTATAAGTGAATCGGGGTGGATTTAATATTGCTTTTATTGACGTTCTATATTAAGTATAGTTATTGGAAAGTTTTATTGACGTTTCGTTTTTAGTATAAGTAAAAAGCGATCATTTATTGCTTTTATTGATATCATAGCAGTAATTGCTATTTAAAACTAGTGTTTTTTTACTTATTTGCTGTCAATATTTTTTTCGAAATAAAACATATCAAGACAGTTAAGATCGGTTGTCATTAAATTGTGCATAGCGAGAGAAAAAGTGACGACTCATTATGTAGAAACAAGACCTCGGGTGAAAATCCCTTATGTTGGGAAAATGTGTCCCTGCTATGTTAATTGCTAACACATGTCTTTTGTTGTTGGCTAAAAGGTGACAAGCAGTAAAAAAACAACTATGCATGCACAGATTATAATATCAGTCATATGTTTCGGTACTGATCGGAATATCCGTCCCGAGTGGATCAGCTCATTGGGCAGTAATGAGGTTTGCTAACTCGGGAGGATGGCGCTAACAAGAGCCGTGTTTGTTTGTTGCCGTCACAAAGCATGATGCATTGGCAGTACTGTCGTACCTCCACCAATCACCAACGAACGAAGAATAGCATGAACGCTGAGATCTCGAACATGAAATTTCCAGCGCCGAGCTGAAATAAAACTAAAACACGCACACGAACGCACACACGCACATACACACACACCTTACCTTTTGTTAGGCTTTTTGTAACCAACTTGTAAATGTCCTCTCGACATTCTACTGTACAATGTACATGTATATTCAAATTTAGGTAGCATGTCTTTTTTTTTTAGTTCCATGTAAAAAAATCCTTATATCAGTCTATACAACTGTATCCAAGGTAATTATGTGTCGAAGACCTTAGATCAATATCCAGACTGTTTTGATACAATTTAATTTCTAAGTCTGTATTCTACAAATACAAATATAGGTCTGTATTTATCAAAATTAAATTGGATTTTTTTTCTCAGTTTGATATTTTCTAAATATCTGTAATACAATGTGTATATCTAAAATACAGGTCTTGTCTCAATTTTTTTTTTAAATACGCCTGTATTTCTAGGTCAAAACATCAGATTCAGCAAATACAGAATTATTAACCTATAGTTTTTATATATAAAAACAGGTGTTTTTCAGTATTTTTACAATATATATAACTTTGTTACCATCAAGTATAATAAGGAATTGATACTCGTTTAAATTTTTGGACATCGAAAATGATAACAAAGATAGATAGAGTATGTACAATATACGTTTTGGACTTTGAAAATGAAAACTTGCATATGCATGGTAGGATATGCATTTGATATAGGTATTTCGGGCGGAAAAATGAAAACGATGCTATATATGGTATGATATACATATATATCTGATGTGGATTTTCCAAACTGGAAATAGAAACGAGACTAAATTAATTCAATTGAAACAAATAAAGAACATCATGTGCTTGAAATACTGAAAGCTCATTTACGGTGCATATCCATATCGGTACCCTCTTTGCGAAATCTGATCAAACGGTACCCTCTTTGCACATGCACAGGCCATTAAAAACAAACCAGCGATGGATAACAATCCAGTAAAATTTCATTGTTATAAGGAAAGGAGGTATGACACGTAGAAAAGATGTATACCACGGAACACTAGACTGTTTTATTCATGTGCTGATTTGTCATGTGCCTGTTTTTCATGTACTGCAACTTCTCAATAAGCTACAAAAATTCGACATGTCTTGCTACGCCCATCATCTCGACATATTTTTCGGGCTGAAATGAACCTTTAACTTGACCATATATGCATCATACATATTTAATATGTTTATTTATATATCATCTTCAGACAAATGGCAGAATATTGTCAAAAATAGATGTAAGATTCATAAAAACAACATACTTTCGGCTTTTGCAGCGGCATGGGTTACCTCTCTGCTTTGAATTTTTATATCACAGGTACCCTATCATTGTTTAACACATAGGTACCCTCAAAGCACGACATACGCTTTTTTGCGTCAATTGTTAAGTTTGAAATATTTCTTATTTTTATGTACGTATATATACTAAAATGTAATTTTATGTACGTATATATACTATAGTGTAATGGTACGGAGTTCTGTTTTTCACTAATGTGAATAAATAAAATAGAAGAATACAACTGTAAACTTACGATGCTTAATCTTAAGTGGCAGTGGCAGGAATCGCCTGTCATAAATAAGAACTGCCCATTCAAGCATTCACGGATTTATACTGCATGTAAAGGTCAAAGTAAACGAATCAGATGAAACTGATATATCATTAATTTACAGAGTATGCAGCTGAGAACGCCAATTTTGTATCATATAACAGATGTGGGCTCCAGTCTCACTAGGTGTTTCCGGTAAAACATTAAAAAATGATGTAACATTCACTCATAAACTTATCCACCGCTTCTGCGACGAAATCTCCATCGCGACCGATTCTACAAAAGCTATGGCAAGTGTGATAATTATTGCATTAATATTTATTATTTTACATTCCTTAGTAAGAGTTGATTACACAGTCCCGTAGCTACTGTCGGACATAGTTTATAATGTCCTCATTCAATTGCCTGCCACTTCGCAACGTCTCTCTAGGCGATTGACGTCACCAACGTCCCTGACAATTTCTTCTTTCTGCCTCTCTCTTATTTTTCTTCTTTTTTTTCAATTTCTCAATTACCCTTTCTTAATCATTTATTTCAATCAAAACCTGTGCTGTGGCTACCTTTCCCTTTTTCGATTATCCCTTTCTATGTTTTGGACAGTTTCTCGACTTACTATTGACAGTTTCTCGACTTATCATTGACACAGTTTCTTATTGATCGAATTTCGTGACGTCCCGACGGCATAATTTTAACGCGAGTTTTTCTTTTATAAGTGACATATGAATTATTGTGATTGCACAGATAAATGTGGTTTAAATGAAGTCATATTTTCTGACAACGTCAACGTCTAATATGGCTCATGACGTTTCGACTTTTTTTGAAATCTAATTGTGTCATATTGTAAAATATAGCTTTATACAGCGCCTATTGTCAGCGCAAGTTTATGCACTGCGCCGGAGTGCGTTGTCATGGTTTTTGTATTTTCTAATCGCAGATCAGGAAATTCAATGCTATCATTCAATCTCTGACACAGAATTTTCACGACAAACCGAACAACAAGTAGTTCTCAAAACAGCTTAAAACTATCGATTTTAAAGGAAGAAATATTTTTATTTTGTTACAAGTATCCAACAAATTACAACGCATTCAAAGTTTAAAAGTAGCGTTTGGTTATAGAAATATCAATAAATGCAGAATCACAAATTACGCGGATGAATATCATTTTTATCAATGAATGCTATTTTTAGCGATGTCGATGACCGAATACTGCAGAGCGTTTTGTTGCAGACCGTGAGTAGTGGAATATATACATCCAAAATAGACACATTTTCACGGGCGAGCTTAAAAGGGGAGTAATGTGAAGCGTGTTTGAATTTGGTATGATGCTGTAATAAAATTAGTGATACTTTTTGAAAAAGATCAAAGAAATTTTGCATATTTATTTACCACATCAGCGTACGTTCTTGTATAATATCTATATGGTTCACTTCATGCCCATAGTCGCAATTATGGGTCAATGCCTGTTTGACTTAATTAAGCCTGCTCTGTAACTCTTTGAATGGTTTTATAGAATTTTTAACAAATCTAAACCGCATTGAGCGGACATGCATCCTTTTTCCTAAATGTTATTTTGCGCAAGGAGGCACTGCCTCTATTAATCTTTTCATGAGTAGCATTACTTGCAATATTATTCATTTCAAGTCCCCGAGAAAATAACAATAACCGTTAATAATCGACTTATTGATAAAAATTCAATAATCCATCTTTTGGCATGTCATTAAAAATGCTGATGAAACGGCGTTTAGCGTTATACTGGCGCGACCAAAGTATTTACATCAATATTTTTCTGTGTCACAGTATGACAAAATATAAATACGCCTCTTAGTTCACGGCACTTAACACTTTGAAGCAAGAAAGAAAACAACACATGAAACTTAGGGTACAAAAATTGTTATAAGCTGTAACATATATGTATTTTCTGCTGTATGACACAAGTAAACAACAATTAATATATTCAGTATAAATGAGCCAGACGTAGACCATATGTTGGCCATTTTGAAAACAGTATGTCATCATTTAAATCGCAGTAATGGTGTTAATTTTTCAGTTTTTTCATGTTTCAGTCAAAATTTCTACATGTTATTTTGCATAATTTTAAATATTTAAAGTATGTTTACATTATACCTCAAAATTTATTTTTTCAACGAACAAGAACATTTAGAAAATGATGATTGTTTCAGACGTATGCACAAATTTAACGAACTTTTGTTGCTTTTTGCAAAAACTTGTAAAATGTTGTTCTATTTTATGTAAAAATCTATAGATTTTAAATATTTTGCACAAACACTTTGTTGTTCAGGTGTTTCAATTAAATATGTCAATTCTGACCAATTTTAACACTGGTCACATAAAAACATGCCATTACAGTGACATAAGTAATGACGCGGAATTAGTGATGTTGAGTACAAATCAAAATCTATTTTAAAGTCAAAGGTGTTTAGATAATGTTCCCCGTTACACAATCATAATGAATTCTGAGGTAGGAAGTTACTCACAAAACATATGCAAAACGAAGTGTTTTACAAGAACAGACGACCAAGTGACTAAAATAGCCCTTACTCGTTTTTCAAACAGTTGGGCTATAAATGGTTCATTATGAAACATTAGACAATAATGATATATCAACATAATTATTACATTGACACGAAAGTTTATTTTTCAAAAAGTAAACAAGACATACATGTACATTACAAAGTTATTATTTCCTTTTCCAAAACCCTAACCTGCTGAAAGCGAGTCCAGAATAGAGCTAGTCCAGCAGTCTGATATGGTGCATGATTGCATCTGCGCGACAACTGTCGTCTGCTAGGATTCTTCACGCCATTTCCTGCTTAACGTCTGCTCAATGATCAATAAACATTTTTTTTACCATCAAATCGAACAATAGTCTGAAATATATTAGTGATAATATTTAAAAAATATACAATTTTATCTAGTTTTTTGTCTTTTAAAAGATATCCAGTGATGTTTTCTTACGCCATCTGAAAACAAACGAAAAACCAAAGAACAATAATATTATTACTAGTC